CCCCTGGGGAGATGAGAGGCTGGATGGAGGAGGGGATGGGGAGAGAGCAGGAGGAGGCAGTGGGCACTGCCTGGCGGGAGGAGACAGGCACGGGGAGGGCTGCAGGGCATGGATTGGCTCCGCTGGGTTCCATGTTGGTCACCCCACTTTGCAGAGGAAGAAATAGTAGCGGTGATGTGAACCCACCTGCCCGCTGGCCACCCAAATAAAGTGCCAAGGAGAGGAAACCTAAGGATTGGCCGTGGCTCAGGGTGTCTGCTCTCCACTGTGTCTCCACACAGTCGGGAATGGCACTGACAAAATTCTGGGGATCACGGGACAGGAGAGAAAAAACTGCCTTTGCCCTTCTTCCTCATCACCCCCTCAGCCTTCTGGGATGAGCTCTGTTGCTTGCTCTTGTCTGCACCTTGACTCAGAATTCCACAGGCAAAGTCAGCAAAGCACAGACTTTTCTGGGACCAGTGATAGAGCACAGCGGGTAAGGTCAGGTTGTATCTCCGGCACCCCTTGTTGGTCCCCGAGCACTGCCAGGAGTGACCTCTGAGTGCAGAGCCAGGAGTAAGCCCACAGTACTGCTGGTTGTGGCCCCCAAGTCAAACAAATAAAATAAAGTAGGACACTTTCATTCAATAAACGCCCCTCCTGGGGGGTCCTGCCCAGGCAGGGGCAGGAGCTTGGTCCTTGCTAGTTATTTTACAAAGGAGCTGATGACTGTGCATCCTGCCCCGCCCATCTTCTTCACATCTTCAGCATAAGAGGCCAGCACAGTGGAAACCTTCTCTGCAGCCTGGGTTGCTGGACGTAGAAATATATTCATATTTTATCTGATCTAAGCGTAATATATGTGCGTTATAAAAAAAATGCAGGGGGAAAAAGCCAAAGATGAAAATCACTCCCTAGCCTAAAAGAAGATGAAATGTAACCAATGAGTGGGAGTCTTATGAAGACCCATGCGATGAAGCACTTTGTGCCTCTGGGTGTGTGCGTGCGTGTGCATGTGTGTGCATGTGTGCGTGCATGTGCGTGCGTGTGTGTGTGTGTGTGTGTGTAATCATGCACCAGCCACCTCTCCCGCTTGTCTGCAAATCTAGAGGAATCACTGCAGGGCTCGGGGTTGTGGAGAGATGATTGCAAGCCCGTCAAAGAGAGCTTTGGTTTGTATGCAACTCGTGTAAGAGTAAATATTCCACCGCTGCGTGTGGCTAACGCGAAGGCGAGACCCTGAGACGCCGGTGATTGGCCGACGCGTGATCGGGCTGCACCATCTTCGGATGTTTTCACCGCATTGCTTTTTTAAAACGTTTTTTCATATTACATGCCCCGTCTCATATCGCATTAACCCAAATAAAAATGTCATTATCCATTCAGTTCGACAGATAGCCGGCGGAATGTGGTAGGAAATTACAATCACGCCAGCCGGCAACAAAGACTGTAGCCACAGGCAGAGGAACCGTGGTGGGCAGCTGGGACACCCCCACTTTTTGTTTTTATGATTGTGGGGTGCCACATCGGCGATGCTGAGGGAGCCACCAGCCCCCTGCTCTTGCCCCGTGCAGACACGCCACTGGATTCCGTTGTGGTTCCCCCCACTCCACTTCACGCGCAGGCATGCCTCTCTTGAGGAGTGCATATAAATCAAATAGGACGGTGCATCCCATTTTTGCCACATTAAGAAAGCACTGAGCCCACGATCTACGGGGACTTCTATTCAAACAGGGTTTTTCTGTCTTGCTATGTGACTCTCCGTCTGAAATCAATCTAAACGCTATTTTGGCATATGGGATTTTATTAAAGTCAGTTTACTTGCACAGCTAAGTTGATTAAAATCATGAAAGGAACGTGGCCGGTGGGGCCAGCCACAGCAGTGTGGCTTCGCTGGTTCTCCAAACACGAGGTGGTCGGAGATTTCTTGAGAGTCATTTACGCAACCCGCCAGATTGTTAAATTTGCGGTCTCTGAGTATTTAGCCAAGAAAGCAGCGGGCAGGCGGCTCCACCCAGAGTTCCTAGGAGTCCAGCGTCCTCATCTCCCAGATACCCAGGGCTAGTTGAGGGCATTACTCAGGGGCTCTTGGCAGCCGACTGGCACATGGGTACACAGGTGGAAGAGGCTTGGAAGGCACAGCATGAGTGACGTTGCTATTTTGGCAAATCATTTGCCAAGGTCTCTTCCAGCCGGCTTCGGAATGAGATGTGAACGGGCAGAAGCTTCGTTGCAGTTCATGCTCAGCTGGCCTGAGTGGTGATAACCGATTAAGAACGGCTGCTGCTGGGGTCAGCGAATGCAGTGTTTAGCAGAGGGCCCTGGGCTCTGGGTTCGAGCCTTCATACCTACGGGCAAACAGAAGGAAGGCTTCAAAAGCACACGACTCAATTTCAGTTGTGACCAAAACAACCAGTGCCCGGAGTGCTGGACACCCGAAGCCTCGAGCATGGCCCCCAACACCAACATTCTGTGCCCTGTCTCTGACCTCCACACGCTGAGTCCACCCCCTAACCAGCCCTCTAAGCCCTTTTGGTCTGATGAGCAGGGAGTGTCGTTTGCCTCGTGGTCACCCTGTGGCGCGCCCCTGCACGCCCTCAGGGGCTCAGGGGCCTTGCCTGGGTGTATGGGTATGTTCAGGCCCTGCCCTGGGAGCCCACCCAGCCCGGTTCCATGTCAGCTCATCCCTCCTCTGCCTCAACCCTCCCTTCTGAGAGGGGCCCCGGGTGTGCCAGTCCTTCCGGCACATACAGTTTAGGGTGTTCGTGGCAGGGGAGAACTATCCAGCAGGTGCCCCCCAGACCATCCTACTCAGCCAGGCTTCTCCCGTGCCCTGACGCTCTGTGTCAGCACATGGCCAGCAGGCTTGGACAGCACTCCCTGCTCCAAAAACATAAAGCCTATTGAGAGGAACCCAAAACCGCAGGGTCAAAACCTCAGTTGCACGTGGGGTTGGATCATGCGCAAAGTCCTGCCCGGTGGTCTTCACTGCCTGAACCTCACTGTTGGCCTGTGTCACGTGTCCAGACAGCTGCATCTGGCTTTGTAATGAACCTGGAGGACCGTGACCCGTCTGCGGCTCATTGCTTCATGCCTAAGAGACCGTATTCAGTTGCTGCAAACACCTTGCAGAGGCACCCTGGGGTGTGTGAAATGAATGCAATAGAATAGCAAATAGCACGGAGGAGTGTGTGAACCGTGGGTAACAGGAGGTCAGCAGTTACTTGGGGGCGCAGGGGCAATAAGGAGGAGCAGAACTTTATTTGGGGAACCACTGTCACTGGGAGGAAGTCAGACAAAGAGCCAACAAAAAATGTTTGGAAGGAGACACAGTAGGCCTCAATGCAATACAGCATCCCTTTCTCCCTAGTAGATCTGCATTGTACAGCTTTCCGATGTCTCAAGAGCAAAGAGTAGCTTTGTCCTTTTTAAGTCAGCATCAGAACGTCTTCATGTGTCAATGCAGTTGCTCAACCCCCTCATTTGCTGGGTGCCAGCCGCTGAGAGAAGCACTAGATACAGGAACAAATGAACCAGCAGTGAGGGATGTAACTCCAGCGACAGAGCACGTGCTGGGGTCCAAAAGTAGAACCCAAACACAGGAAACCTTGCAACATAACGTTTCCTATCTCAAAAGCTCAAAATAGCATGTTTTAGCACATTGTTTTAGCTATGGTGATGTTCTAGAATGTGCATTGATCCAAAGAATTCCTCTCCATGTTTCAAATTGATTCCTCAAGCAGACGGGGTGAATAAAAGATCCCGTGGGTACCTGTGAGACCTCACAAAGAATCGCCCTCACTCAAGCCAGTCTTCTGGAGTCTAAGTAGGAAATTTTCATATTAAAAACATTTTAAGGGGGCTGGGGCCATAGCACAGTGGGTAGGGAGTTTGCCTTGCATGCACCTGGATTCGATTCCCAGCATCCCATGTGATCCCCCGAGCACTGCCAGGAGTGATTCCTGAGTGCATGAGCCAGGAGTAACCCCTGTGCATCGCCGGGTGTGACCCAGAAAAAAAGCAAAAAAAAAAAAACACCAAAACCCAAACCATTTTAAGGGGGTCAAAGCAATAGTACAGCAGGTAAGATGTTTGCCTTGCATGTGCCTGATTCACGTGAGATCCCTGGCACCCCATGCATCCCCCAAGCCCTCCAGGAGTGATCCCTGAACACAGAGCCAGGAGGAACGTAGCCCAAAACCACTGCCTGGGAAAAAAAAAGATTTTAATGTAGGTTTTTTTGTTTTGTTTTTTTTTGCTTTTTGGGTCACACCCGGCGATGCACAGGGGTTATTTCTGGCTCTGCACTCAGGAATTAACTCCCGGCGGTGCTCAGGGGACCATATGGGATGCTGGGAATTGAACCCGGGTTGGTTGCGTGCAAGGCAAATGCCCTACCCGCTGTGCTATCTCTCCAGCCCCAAATGTAGAAACGTTTTTTATATCAAAATTTCTATTTGATTTAGAAATTCCTGTCTGAGCATCGGGGCCTCTTGAAGGGGGTTTTCCCCTAGGCAGAGAAGCAGAAATTCTCCCAATGTGATTTTCATATGGAGTAAGAAGTTGAAATGACCGTAACTTCCCTTTGGACACTAAAAGTCTATATTCTAAAGTGTAATTGGAATTGCGCAGACATGGATTGGGGCTAATTCAAGAGAGTGCACATATGCATGGCTCCGCTCGCTCTAACGCCAACCAAATGTCACGAAACTAAGCACTGATTCTCATTTCTGGCTCAGTGTTCATTTCTCATAATGATTTCATGAGTATTTGTTCCAAATCCTTTCTTCCTTTTGTTTCAAAAAATATCCACAACCCCACAGCCAGATTACTTGAGCTAAAGCAGTTACTTAAAGCTATTACATTTTATGGTCATTGTGAATTTTAGACCTTCCTCTTGAATCTTAGCGGAGAAGTTGCCTCCCAAACACCTCGAAAGTTGCCCTCTTTTATCTGCAGTTCATTGAAATGCAGGCCCTGGCTGGTGTCCTAATTACACTGTTGTTCTCTGCTCTCAGATGATCCCCCTAATCAGCCAAGCCTGTGACCTGCTCCTGGCCCATTTAAAACCTTATGCAGAAGGCGGGGACGCTTTTGACATCCAAAGGTAAGAGCACGCGTGACTTCCTATGACAGTAAGGAACAGCGGTTTGGAATTTTCTGCTTCTTCAAACTGGCTGTGATTGGTGGGCAAGTTACAGGGACCAGCAAATGCAGGAAATCTATAGACTTCTAAAAAAAATGGTGTCCTGACAGCTCAGGCAGAGAGCAAAGCCTTGCTTGTTTCTTCTGTCCTGGAGACGGCAGGACACGCCCGCAGAAAGGAAGGGCTCTTGGGGATGCCTGTGCCTTTTGATTTCAAGAACTGTTGTTGATAGCCCCCGCCTAGAAGCCCTATCCTGCAGATGAATCCTAAACTTGAATGATGGCCTGCTTCTGCTTTTCCTCCAACAGCCTAAAGGAGAGTGGGAGAACAAGACAGATGAGCCAGAGGCCATTCCATTCTGATATCTTTGCTAATAAAATGATAATACCATCGGGGCGGGGCTGTAGCACAGCAGCTGAGCGCTTGCTGTCTTGCCTTGCCTTAGGTTTGATTCCTGGCACCACTAGTAAAATGAAATAGAGGCTGAAGAGAATGTCCAGGGCTAAAGCACTTGCCTTGCATGCAACCCACCCCAGTTAGATTCCCAGCGCTGCACATGGTCTCCTGAGGGCCGCCAAGAGTGATTCCAGAGCAGGAACCAGGAGTAATCCCCGGGTACTGCCAGGTATAGCCCCCAAACCAGAAACTAATATAAAACAGAGTAAGATGGAATGAAATAATAATGGCACTGGACAGAGAGTGTGGTGGTTAGGGAGCTAGCCTTGCATGTGACCAGCCGGGGTTCAGTCGCCTGTCACCCCTCATGGTCCCCCAAGCTCATCAGGACTAGTCCTGAGCACAGTGCCAGGAGTAAGCCCTGAGCACCACCAGGTGTGACTGTCCAGAACCCAAAAAATAAATAATAAAATACTGGCATCATCATCACCAGCATTGAAAATCTACCTGTACTATTGACAAAACCCTCTTGCATACATTCTCTCTGGTTCGGAGACCAGGAGATGAGATGCACTGGGCAGTTCTGAAAGGCCAGGAAATGGCTTTTTCATTTGTGTTTGTTTGTTTTGGGGGCCACACCCAGTGGTGCTCAGGGCTTACTCCTGGCTCTGCATTTAGAGATCTTGGTGGAGCTCAGTGGACCCTATGGGATGCCAGGGATTGAACCCAGGTAGGCCAAGGGCAAGGCAAACCCCCTACCTGCTATACTATCCCTTTGGCCCCCTTAAAATGTTTTTAATAGGACATTCCCTACTTAGACTCCGAAAGACTGGCTTGAGTGAGAGTTATTTGTGCTCCATACCAGGAAATGACTCTTGAACCCCTCAACTCTCCCTGTACCCAAGTCAGAGGAAAATCACACACAGTAGTCAAACTGCTCTTTGAAAATCAGGCAGGAAACTGCGATTGATGGTAGGCGTGTTTTCAATGAAAGCAGTATTTAAAAAAAAAAATAGCCAGCAATTCCCTGTCCATGCCATAATGATAAACCGATGCTTCTAGAACTTACCGAGGAAATGTGTGTGTTTCTCTATCAAGCCCGAGAAACAGACCCTTGAAACCTTTGGATGAACAGCCAGTTGGTCACCTTCGAAGAAACAACCTGAGACTCCTCTAAAATGACAACAGCAAAGAGGAGTGCTCTAGTTTAAAAATCGCCATGGCAGGGAAAGGGACCCGTGTCCCAGAGCTGCAGCGGTTAATTTTCCAGAAGCTTCTGCCAGACAACTTTTCCTTCTGCTTGTTTCTGAAGTGCCACGTGTGTTTTCTGTAATAACATACACATGTTCCTGGTGCCTACCCCGAGGCCTGCCTTGTATTATTTATTTGAGTGTAAAGGGCCCTTGTTTCTTGTTTGTTGCCCTGGGGAAGCTGTTGAGCTGTGGAACGAAGCTAATAAAACCAGGCGCTCCTCCAGCCATGAGGGTTGCCCATCAATCCCGTCCACCTCCAGCCTGGACCATCTCTGCCCAGTTCTGGGGGGACACGTGTTTGGCTTTTGGTCCACCCTTCCTTCCTTCATGGCACTTATCAGCAGATTCTCAGTGTTTGACCAGTTCTGGATCCTGTGTCCATGGGGGGCTCTGCCCTTCCCCAGCTCTGCTTAGATACACCCCCTTTCCTGCTCTGTGAGGGCTGGGGACCACACCCAACAGCGCTCGGGGGTTATTCGTTGGCTCTGCACTCAGGGATCACTCCTGGTGATGCTCTGGAAACCATAGGTGAAACCCGGGATTGAACCCAGGCCAGCTACCTGCAAGACAAGTGCTTTACCCCTGTACGATCTCTCTCTCTCTCTCTCTCTCTCTCTCTCTCTCTCTCTCTCACTCACTTTTTTTTTTTGCTTTTTGGGTCACACCCGGTGATGCTCAGGGGTTACTCCTGGCACTGCACTCAGGAATTATTCCTGGTGGTGCTCAGGGGACCATATGGGATGCTGGGAATCAAACCTGGGTTGGCCACATGCAAGGCAAATGCCCTACCTGCTGTGCTATCGCTTCAGCCCCTGCACTATCTTTGACCCCAAGAGTTATCAACTTGGTAGCAGGTTCACTTAAGGGAGTTATTAACATCTATATTTCTGGCTATGTACCTAAGGATTCTTGTTTGCTTGGTTGGGGGAGCCACACCCAGCCAGTGCTAAGGGGCTATTCCTGGCAGGGCTCAGGGGACGCTATGGGGATCAAACCTGGCTCTCCCACATGTAAGGCAAGCGTTTATCTCTGAACTGACGCTCTAGGCCTGACATCTCCTCCTGCCACTCTTAGGGTCCAGGCAAAGTGGGCTCAGCCCCCCCCCCACACACGTCCCCTCCCAAGGCAGCTGAGGAGGAGGGTGGGTGCAGGAGCACCACGACTGTGTCCTTCCGCACCTCACAGTCCCTGTCTTGCAGGTGCTACAGCTGCTACACCACTGACCTGGTGGCCAGCGTGGTCTTCGGCACGCCTCTGGACTCCCAGAAGAACCCCGAGCACCCCTTTGTGGACCACTGCCGCCAGCTCTTTGCCTACTCCATCCCCAGGCCCATCATGTTTCTGCTCCGTAAGTTCCCGCCCTGTGCCCAGGGGCTAAGATGGGACGGGGGGGGGGGGGGGGGGGGGGGGGGGGGAGGGGACCCAGGCCTCAGTTTCAGACACCAAGGGCTCTGGGCTGTCTCTGAGTTGTCTCCCCGCAGTTCACCCCACAGAGACCTGATCCTCCATCCAGTGTCACCCATTTGGGGGCCCCAGGGAGTCCATGCTGGTGTTCTGGTCTGGCCTGGCATCCCCACCTTCTCCCAGCACAGGTCTTATTGAGAAATTCATTCACGTGGCCCCGTCAGGGCTAGAGGAGGGCCTAGGAGAAGTTCTTGTCACCCATTTTACAGATGGAAAAGCAGAGGCATACAGAGGCAGGCAGAGTCCAGTCTGGCACCCGACACCCCTGCACCCTCAGGGTCTGTTTCTCCCCCAGCCAGGGAAGCCTTCTGTAGACGTCCTGTCTCGCTGTACTCTTGAGGGGACGCAGGAATCGGGCAGAAGGGTCAGGGCATGTGACCTGGTGCTCTGGGGATGGACCCCGTGTTTGTTGCTCCCCATGTCTCCATCCATTTCCATAGCGGACATTGGCCCCTCTGTTTCCAGGGCTCGGATGGGGGGGGGGCGGGCCTCTCTCCGGTGTCCCTATACCCCCGGGACAGCATCTCTGGGTGCAGACGCTTGCTCTCCCCGTCTCGGCTGGGATCCGCTTTCCATCACCCAGACCTTGTGTCCCGCTGTGTTCTGAGGGCCTGGGCGTGGCTCTGGGAAATAGGCACAGCCCTCTGGGACCCCCGTGGATGGCATCTGGATGCCATCATTGCCCCAATCCTGCTCAGATCCATGCACAGTGAGCCCCAGGGATGGTCCTTGGATCTGCTCCCGGCCACTGTCCTATGTCCCCTTAGCCCATGTGCCCAGTGGGCCAGGGCGGCACCTGCTGGCAGCGGCTTTGGGGAACCATCCCGGTAACAGCTGGGAGCCATAGAGGCGGGGTGGACACCAATCACCTGGACAGTGAGGGAGCAGGTGAGCTTCTCCGGCACCAGTTCCCAGGTAACCTGAGGCAGAGCTGTCCCCGGGAAGACAGCAGCCAGCCCTGTCATGCCTGGGGGGAGGGGGGCGGCCTAAATTGGGAGCAGGAGGACCCCCTTTGGAGCCAGGTGGGAACAGGGGCTCAGTGGACCTTCCCGGACATGGGAGGGCTGAGCAGACACAGCCTGCAGAGACCCCTTGGAAAGGTGAGCTCCAGGCGGGGGTGCACCCCCCACCCCCGTGAACTCCGCCCCCCTTTCCAACATCACCTTTGTGTTTGGCTTTCCAGTGTCATTTCCATCCATAATGGTCCCGCTGGCCCGGATTTTGCCCAATAAGAACCGAGATAAACTGAACGGCTATTTTCACAAGCTCATTACGAGTGGAATCGCCCTGCGCGACCAGCAAGACGCCAAGGAGGTAAGGAATTCTGATGGATGCAGAGCCTGGAGCCCGCCGTGGCCACGGCCTCACTTGCCTGCCCCCTCCCGCCCCTGCTGCCCCCTGCCCTGCAAGCTGCTGGCCTCAGCCTTCTCCCCCTGGGCCTTCCAGGGCCTTAGAGAGGCAGAGGAGGGAAGAGCAAAGGAAGGTGGCAAGGGACGTGGGGAGACACACCCAGACTCTCTACCTCACCCTGATAAGGAGAGAATTAACGTTGCCCCCACTCTCTAGCCCTCAGTATCAAACATGCCCCTCCCCATTAGAAAAACCCCCAGTCATTTTCTGGGTAAATGTGCCCTGGGGTGTGCTTCATCAGCATCTTAATTAGAGAGAAATATGGCAGGATGCCTCACATGGTACAGCATGTGCTTCACATGTGCCTGGAACTCAACCCACTGCTGAGTGTGGCCCAGATGAAAATAAACTGGGTCTGGAGCTGAAGTGATGGCACAGCAAGGAGGGCGCTTGCCTTGCACTGGCCGACCTGGGTTCCATCCCGGCATCCCATATGGTCCCCCAAGATCTCCAGGAGTGGTTCCTGAGCACAATGCCAGGAGTCAGCCTGAGCACAGCCGGGTGTGGCCCCAAAACAACCCCCCAAAAAGAAAATTGAGGTGGAGGGGGAGAGAATTGGAGGGAGGAAACGTAAAAGTGGAACTAAATGTGTGGACCAGGGGCTGGAGCAATAGCACAGTGGGTAGGGCGTTTTCCTTGCATGTGGCCGACCCTGGTTCGATTCCCAGCATCCCATATGGTCCCCTGAGCACCGCCAGGAGTGATTCCTGAGTGCAGAGCCAGGAGTAACCCCTGAGCATCGCCGGGTGTTATCCGAAAAGCAAAAAATAAATAAATAAATAAATAAATGTGTGGACCAGGGACTGGAGAGATAGCACAGTGGGTAGGGCATTTGCCTTGCACGCGGTCAACCCGGGTTCAATTCCCAGCATCCCATATGGTCCCCTGAGCACTGCCAGGGGTAACTCCTGAGTGCAGACCCAGGAGTAACCCCTGTGCATCGCCAGGTGTGACCCAAAAAGCAAATAAATAAATAAATAAAATAAAAATAAATAAATGTGTGGACCATGGCTGTGGGTAAAATCAGGGACACTTCCTGGTTGCGTGCTTAGAGCAGCTACGGAACCTCTGGGCACTGCAGTGGAGTGTGGTTCAGGGGTTCGGGCTTCCCCGGCAGGGGTTCAGGGGGTCAGGTCCATAAGGTCAGTTGAAAATGCCCCCTCTCACACTGCTGGGAGTTGAGTTCAACGCATCGGAGGTGTGCGAAGAGCCGGCAGCACTTGGACCCTGGGCCGGGGGAAGGGGCCGCCTCTGCCAGGCTCCGCTTTTCTCCAGAAACGGCCTGGTCGTGGCTCTCTCTCTCTCTCTCTCTCTCTCTCTCTCTCTCTCTCTCTCTCTCTCTCACACACACACACACACACACACACACACACACACACAATACCCCACCCGCCCCTTAACCCACCAGCTCTGAAATCAGGCTCAGCTTTGAACCCTGGTCCGGGCCCGAGTGCCAACCGAGAGGTGAGGGGTTATTTCAGATCCAATTACCCGGATGGCCTCAAGCTTTTCCTTTTATAAACTCCAGAGCTATTTGTTTCAAACCCGGGAGTTGATCTGAGAAAAACCTCCCCACCACAAATCCAGGCCTGCTCGGCGTCCAGACAGGGCTATAGCGTTACTAAGCAAACGGGCGCTGCCCCTCTGCGCTCGGGGAGAAACGCCACGGAGCAGCTGTGTGTTTGCGCAGGGACAAATGCGGCACAGATGTTAAAAGGTAAATATTTTTCTAAGCGCTCGCCGATGGGCAGATCAGACACCTACATCTATCAGCATGCGTATTTTTCTTGGCTATAACCATAAACCAGCCCCGTTTCGGTCCTAAATGGGCAGTGTTCAAATAGCCTCGGCGAGGCGGCGTAGGAACGAGAAACCCATCTTCCCTAATGTGCTCTGCGGCACACAGGGGCCTCCAGAAACACGCTTCCCTCTGGCCTCGGAGCTGGGGGCTGACAGATTCCTGCCCCAGAAGCCGCCCGAAAGCAGGCGGCTGCGGATCTGCAGAACAAGCCATGCCCCCACCCCAACAAAGGTGAACCGGGGCTTGGAGCGATAGCACAGCGGGGAGGGCGGTGGCCTTGCACGCGGCCGACCCGGGTTCGATTCCCAGCATCCTATATAGTCCCCTGAGCACCGCCAGGAGTAATTCCTGAGTGCAAGAGCCAGGAGTAACCCCTGAGCATCGCTGGATGTGACCTAAAAAGAAAAAAAAAAATACTGATTGAGATTCTGTGGTTCACTGGATTATTCATGACGGTTTCTCAAGCACACAGTTTCAACACTACACCCCCCTGTGCTGCAAGGGCCCTGAGATCCCTCCCTTTCAGCAACCCCCACTCCATTGTGTGGATCAGTTCTGTTGTGTTGCCTTTGACCCTTGATTGCTTCGTTGCTGTGTAGCTGAAGTCCTACACAGGAGGGAGATGATCCTGTCCCTTCCTTCCCACTCAGCTGGCGTGAGAGCCTCCAGCTCATCCAGGTTGCTGTGAGTTGCCTGGCTTTGTTCCTCCTTAGAGCTGCACAGGGTCCCGTTGTGTATACACACAACAGTGTCTTGATCCACTCACCCGTAGCTGGGTGTTTGGGTTGTTTCCATCCATCTCTTGGCTGTAGTACTGAGTGCAGTGATGAGCCTAGGGGTGCATAGAACCTTTCGAATCACTATTTTCACATTTGGGATCCTGACAGTGGAATCCCTCTGATCCAAGGTTCTCGGGCATATGCGATGAAGCCTCTAAATGCATCTGATCTGTTGCGTTTTGCTGCAGAAACATTGCAACTGCCTAATCTCTCCTGGGCACCCTGCTAGACACAGGACCAATGTCTCGTGGGGCATCATTCACGAGGGCATCTTGTCGGGTCCCAGCCTGGTTCCCAGGCAAGAGATTGTCCAACAAGGCTTGTGCGCGGGACACACGCTGTCAGTGCTGAAGCAATAAGCAAACACTTCCTTGAGCCACTGAGCGGTGGGGAAAATGACAAGGGACACGCAGATTTCCCTCGGGAAGGGGGGCGGAGGAGGGGTGAGAAGGTTCCAGAAGGCTCACCTAGGGTTGAGAACCGGGGAGGGAAACCCCAGAGGTGCACGGGGGAGAAAAGACAAACTTCACCCCTGCGAATTCTCACCCCTGGCCCTGATTCTGCCAGGAAACCTGAACGGGCATAGGAAAGCGAGAGAACAGGCCCCGAGGTCGGGCTGAGGAGGATGTTTTCGTTGCTTAATTGCTGGAAGGGCTGGAGCGATAGCACAGCGGGTAGGGTGTTTGCCTTGCACGTGGGCGACCCGGGTTTGATTCCTCCATCCCTCTTGAAGAGCCCGGCAAGCTACCAAGAGTATCTCGCTCGCATGGCAGAGCCTGGAAAGCTCCCCGTGGCATATTTGATATGTCAGAAACAGTAACAAGTCTCACAGTGGAGATGTTACTGGAGCCCGCTTGAGCAAATCGATGAACAACGGGAGGACAGTGCTACAGTGCAATTGCTGGAAAACCAGTCAAAGGGACAACTGGAAACGCAGGTAGAAATGGCCTCCCCGCCTTGGCCACCGCCCCCTGCTCACTGTGAGTGACTGGGCTCTAGTGGTACTGGACATGGTCTTAGAGCGGTCGTGCCGAGACGGCCTCACAGCCATGAGATCCCAGCACACGTATTCTCCTGCTCCTTTGAAAAGAAAACCTTGGGGCTGCAGTGATAGTACAGCGGGGAGGGCGTTTGCCTTGCATGCAGCCTTCCCGGGTTTGATCCCCAGCATCTGATTTGCTCCTCTGAGCCCTACCAGGAGCAATCCCTGAGCACAGAGCCAGGAGGAAGCCCTGAACATTACCTGGTGTGGTACCAAAAGCAAAAAAGTAAAATCTTCCCCAAATGCTGTTCATCTTCATTGACTCAGAGAGGCCCGCTTCCTTGTCAGACAACATTCAGTAGCAGACTCTGAGGACAGGCAGTACTGAGAGACCACAGGGGGGTTCCAGGTTTACTCCTCTCCATCCCCCTGTACGCAAGGCAGGTATCTGCTGAGATACTCCTGATCTCAACAAGTCTTTGGTTTCTTCTTTCTCCCTCCTCCCATCCCCCTTCTCCTCCTTCCCCTTCCACCTCCCCCTCCTCCTCCTCCTCCTCCTCCTCCTCCTCCTTCTTCCTCCTTCTCCTCTTCCCCCCTCCTCCTCCTCCTTGTCCTCCTTCTCCCCTTCCCCCTCCCCTCCTCCTCCTCCTCCCCCTCCTCCTCCTCCTCCTTCTCCTCCTTCTCCTCTTCCCCCCTCCTCCTCCTCCTTCTCCTCCTTCTCCCCTTCCCCCCTCCCCTCCTCCTCCTCCTCCTTCTCTTTGTTGTCTTCGTCTTCCTCGTCTTCATCTTCGTCATTATCGTCATCATCTTCTTCTTCGTCTTCTTCTTTTTCATTCTTGTCATCCTCATCATCTTCGTCTTTGTTCTTCATCATTGTCATCATCTCCGTTGTCTTCATCTTCATCTTCTTCATCTTTGTCATCTTTGTCTTCCTTTCCTCCGTCTCCTCCATCTTCTCCTCCTCTTGTTCCTTCTCCTCGTCCTCCTCCTCCTCCTCATTTTCCTCCTCCTCCCCTTCCTCCTCCTCCTTCTCCTCCTCCTCCTCCTCCCTTCCCTCCTCTTTTTTATTGTTTTTTTTTTTTTGGTTCACACCCAGAGATCCTCAGGGTTATTCCTGACTCTGCACTCAGGAGTTACTTGTGTGGTGCTCGGGGGACCATATGGGATGCCGGGGATCGAACCCAGCTTGGCCTCATGCGAGACAAACACCCTACCTTCTATTCTATGGCTCCAGCTCAAGTCTTTGGTTTCTTGGTTATTGTTTTTTGGGGGGCCATAGTGAGAGGCACTCAGAGCTTACCCCTGGCTCTGTACTCAGGTCCGGATCACTCCTGGTTGGGTTTGAGGGATCATATGCCTTGCCAGGGATTGAGCCTGGATTGGCTGTACGCATGGCAAGCACCTTACCTGTTATACTATCTCTCCGGCCTCCACAAGTCATTGGAAGTGAGAAATGCACAACTTTGTCTGTTCTTTACATGTGTGACTCTCAGACCAAAATGTGCATTTTCTTCTTTTGTCCCTTAGAGGCGGAGGGACTTCCTCCAGCTGATGTTGGATGCCCGCCACTCCACCACCTGTGAGGGCACAGAGAACTTCGACATGGTCAGACAGATCTCCATTGAAGGCCACCCCATGAGTCCTGCCCGGCCATGCCAGCCCCGACTCCCGGCCAAGCCTTTGACAGAGGATGAGGTTGCTGGCCAGGCCTTCCTCTTCCTCGTTGCCGGCTACGAGTTTGTCACCAACACTCTGTCTTTTGCCACCTACCTCCTGGCCACCCACCCTGAGTGCCAAGAGAAGCTTCTGAAGGAGGTGGACCATTTTCACGAGGCCCACGTGAGTAAGCTGTCCCTGTGAAATCCACAGGAAACTGTCTTCTGAGAAGTGAAATTTGAGTTTCATAAGCCACTGTGCTCAACATTGCATTGCTGTTGTGCAAGAGGGTTGGGTGCCTCGCCCGCCTCCTGCCTCTCTGGGATACAGTAAATGGGAGAAAGATGGAGAGAAAAGAAATAGAGGCGGGTAGCAAGAAGAAGTGGACAGGAAGTAATGGGGTGCAGGGGTCAAGGGCCTCTGGCCCATCGGTGGTGCAGAAATTTCTGTTCCCTTCGTCCTGCCAGAAGGTGACGTGGTCTATTATCAGAGCCCGTAGAAAATTGTTTTGCATCTCTTGAACTGAAAATAGTGTTCCAGAAAATTCCCCATCTTCCGCCCTCGGGAAATGCCACCCACCACCTCCATGTCTGGCTCTTCCGGCCTTTGCCCTGGTCCCTGTGAAGTTCAGGAGACATCGGCCTTGTCTCCTCGATCATGTGCCTGTGCAAGGCGTGGTTTGAACCTGGGTGTCTGAGTTGATATTGATCCTGACGGCAACTCAAGTCGGACGTGTTGGGATCTCAGTTCTGGCCCCTGTGCGCTGTTCCCGCTGGGTCTCCGAGCCGCCCGGGCTGTCTTCTGTTTTCTCTAAGTCATCGATTCGGTTGTTGAACAGGACAGGGTTCGCCTCCAGGTGGGCATCGATCCGTTCATCAATAGCCTTTGGCATCTCAACCAGCCAAACGGCCCCAGTGCCCACCCCCAGCCCCACCTGCTCACGTTTCTTCGAGAGCTCGGGGTGGGCACTGAGGGAGCAGGCGAGGTCCCCACAGTAAGGCAAAGTGACAGGAGGGACACCCAAAGGGCATGTCTACTGGGCTACATTTGGCCACGGGTGACCAGGCCCCAACCCCAACTTATGGGAGGGGGATCAAAACACAAGGTGTGGGGGCTGGAGCAATAGCACAGCGGGTAGGGCATTTGCTTTGCACGCGGCCAACCCAGATTCGATTTCCAGCATCCCATATGGTCCCCCGAGCACCTCCAGGAGTAATTCCTAAGTGCAGAGCCAGGAGTAACCCTGTGCATTGCCGAGTGTGACCCAAAAACAAAACAAAACAAAACAAAAAATACACAAGGCAGGATTTAACGCAACGACCTGCAAGTGAGCAGCCCAGGAGCAGACTTCAGGCAGATTCTCCCCCAGGTACCCTGGCTGTGCCTGCTGGTGCCCATCCCGCCTCTCTCCAATTTGGGCTGTGTGTCGCCAGGTTGGCTCAGTTCGCACACTGCTCTCCCCCGGTGGGCCCAGAGAGCCTGCCAAGCATGTGCTCCTGCTGATGAGGAGAGTCTGTGGGCTGGACTGCAGCGAGCATCAGGGGTACTCTGCTGGGAAGGCTTGATCACGGCTCAGGTTGACCCACTGATCACGTGGGGTGGGGATGCTGGGAGCTTGAGCAGAGCAACCCTGGCCAGCCAGGCTTAAGGGAGAGGAATGGGCAGGAGAGGCCAGAGAGGGAACAAGCCCAGCGGTTTCTCACAGGTCAAGAAAACGGGTCACAGGACAGATGCAGAAGCTTCTGGAAGGCTGGGCAGGGTGGTAGGTGGGATGGCAGGTTGGAGAGGGGTTAAGGTTTTATTTAATTTAATTTTTTTTTCTTTTTGGGCTACACCCAGTGATGCTCAGGGGTTACTCCTGGCTCATTCACTCAGGAATTATTTGTGGCGGTGCATGAGGGACCATATGGGATGCTGGGGACCGAACTCAGGTCAGCCACGTGCAAGGCAAATGCCCTACCTGCTGTGCTATCACTCTGGCCCTCGGGGTAAAGGTTTTATATGTCTTCCAGAAAGTGTCACGCAACTGAAAAGCAAGAAGTAGGAACATTCCAACAACGGCTCTTGCCTGAGCCCAGCTGGCAGCAGGGATGTGGTGTCGACTTGGGGTGACCCATGGAGCGCTCTGGGGCTCTGGGGTCTGTCCCACCAGCTACTAGGTCAGCACGGCTGACTCTGCCGGCCTCCCGGGGCGGGGGGGGGGCGGGCTCCCCGGGCTTCCAGCCTAAGGCTGCACACACAGTTCCCTCCGTCCCTCTGATCCAGCCTGGCCTCACCCTGACTCAAGGTCGGGATGGCCTCACCAGCCCTGGCCTTCTTCCATCTCCCCAGCCCCGGCCAGGTGCTTCTCTCTCCAGAAACCCCCTTCCTCATGGGGCTGTGCAAAGCGTCACAAGCTACCAAGAGCTTGAGGGCTCAGGCACTTTTCAGTAAAGTCTCTCCAACTTGGGCCCGCAGGAATAATACAGCGAGTGAGGTGCTTCCTTGCCTGTAGCCGCACCAGTTTCTAATCCGGCACCCCAGATGGTTCCTCCAAGCACTGCCAGGAGTAATTCCTGAGCGTAGAGACAGGAGTAACCTCTGAGGACTATTGGATGTGGCCCCCTGCAATCAATAAATCATCAATCAATGAAAGTCCTTCCACCTTGAGCCCCCACCAGCTGGGGAGTGTGTGCAAATACAGACTCCAGACTCCGAGCCCTGCCTTGGAGACTTTTTTTTTTAAATAGGTACTCAGACTTTTATTTTGGGTTGGAGTGATGACCCCCAAAAAGTGGGGTGGGTGGTGCGTAGGGACCTTTCCCAGTGATTCTTTTTTTTCTTTTTAAATTTTTATTAGTGAAATACCATGAGGTATAGTTGTAGACTTACAAATTTTTGTGTTTGGGTTTCAGTTATACAATGATTGAGTACCCATCCCTCCACCAGTGCCCATTTTCCACCACCACTGATCCCAGTATCCCACCCACCCTTACCCCATCCCCCTTCCCACCCCGCCTCTGTGGCAGGGCATTCCCTTTTGTTCTCTCTCTCCTTTTGGGTGCTGTGATTTGCAAAAGAGGCATTGAGTGGCAATCATGTTCGGCCTAGAGTCTACTTTCAGCATGCATCTCCCATCCTGGGAGGATCCTCCCAACACCCTTTATTTGGTGCTCCCTTCTCTATCTGAGCTGCCTTTTCCCCTAGCATGTGCGGCTGGCCCTGCCTTGAAGACTCTTGCACCATGAGCTCAGGACCTCGGACCATGACCTCCCCTTTCCTTGCTGCCCCTCCGCTCCCCCTCCCTTCATTATTGTGACATCCTGTGCTACTGCATTGGACTGCAGTGCTGGCGGGGGTCATGCACTTCACTTGTTGGGGCACTGGGGGACCCACTAAGCAGCAAGACAGGATTGCCCTGGTCATGCAGGAAGGTACAGGAATCATCGGCCACCGGAGTCATGTCCCCAGACCCCAGGCCTCCATTTTCCGTCAGCACGTCTTGGGCAACATGAATGCACCAGTTCCTAAGTTGTTCTGAGACTGTGGTCTTAGATGCCCAGCATGGGAACCCCTCTTCTAGGGAGCAGGAAGACCCAAAGGCCTCTTCCCACCGGGCAAGGCCCCTGGGGCTCTCTGTGAGAATTAGGAATACAGAAAGATTCTGATTTTCCATCAATTCCAGAGTTGCAACACCCCCTCAATGGAGAGCTCTAGGTCCCTTCCCCAACCCTTTGTTGGTTTTTATTCTTCTTTACAACAATCAGAGTTCTATTAATATGGGCCATCTGTCAGGACATGGAATTGCAGATTAGATGTTCACACATTAGGTATTTTTCAGAAAATTTGCATGCGAAGTAGGACTTGTGATACTTTTCCTGCTGTTTCTCATTCAACAAACACTTGCTGAGTGCCACTTCCTGTCAGACTCAACTCCCCTGGGATCTCCTGTGGATGCCCCACCCCCCTCTGATGGCCCTTCTGTGCCGGGGCTCCACTGGCTCCACGTGCGCGCTGGAACTTTCTCCTGAATTCCACGTCATTCCCCTGATAGCAAACCTGAGAATCCATGAAAGCAAAGTCCCTCAGGCCCCTTGGGGTGGGTGGGAGGGGAGGGCAGAGGGACTTCTGCATATGGAATGGGTCAGCTCAGGGAGTCCCTGTAGGCAAATCCAACCCTAGGGGTTTGGGGTAGGTCCCTGACCCCCAGAACACAAACTCCAGAGAGCAGGGTGACCTTCAGGCATGGCCTGATGCGAGTGGCTCAATCCGATTGACACCTTAGGGTACACTCCGTTCTCTAATGGGTCCCCCTAGTCCCAGACCCCTCAGGGCCCAGGGTTGGCGCTGCTCCGTGTCTGTTCAGTTGGTTGGGGCATTACCCCGATAAGGATAATGTTATGGCCATTCCTAGTTATGTGCTTAAGGGTCTAGCTGGTGGGGACCGCTCAATTCAGGGATCATGCAATACCTGTGCTGTCTCCTCCAGCCAAAGCTGGCAGGAGGGATCTCTTTTCTTATTGATACCTTTTCTTGGGGACGGGAAGCGGGTGGGGCACCACTCAGGGGTTACTCCTGGTCAAATGCTCGCGGGAGCCATGTGTGGTGCCAGGCACCAGACCAGGGTCTACCACGTGCAAGGCCTTAGCCACTGTGCAGTCTTGCTCTCTGGTCCTCCCAATGCCTTATGCAGACCTTAACAGTTTTCTCTTCACTTTGAAGCTTATAACATTCAGACTGGTCTGGTCTGGTTTAAGACTTCAGACTCAGGGGGCCAGAGCGATAGCACAGCGGGGAGGGCATTTGCCTTGCACATGGCCTACCTGGGTTCAATCCGCAGCATCCCATATGGACTGCTGAGTACTGCCAGAAGTAATTCCTGAGTGCAGAGCTAATCCCTTAGCATCCTGGGTTGACCCATCCTGTCCCTCAACTCCCCTCGCCCATCACGATCACGATCATCCTGTTGTTCGTCAATTTCCTCGAGCAGGCACCAGTAACATCTCCTTCTTCCTAGCCCTGAGATTTTAAAAGAGCCGTTTCAATGCTCTTTCAGGATTAGAAGAATGAGACCCATCAGTGTTACTGGTATTTGGCATATTGGGTACAACATGGGAAGTTTGCCAGACTCTTCCGTGCGGGCAGGATACTTTTGGTAGCCTGCCAGGTTCTCCAAAGGAAAAAATAAGATAATAAGATGTAGT